CCGTTAAAGAAGGTACGAGAAAAAACCCTAAAGAGAATATACATAATTATTATGTGATACGATTACAAGTACTAACTTGATCATCGAAGGGTCCTCGGCCGGCACCCCACCGGTGCCATTCGAGGTAACGTCCCTTTGTTTTGCAGGTAAACGCCGTCGTTCCGAGTTGTGAGGATTTCTGCATCAACAGCTGGCGCCGTCTGTGGGAACGATTAGTTCTCTGAAGAAATAATAATCCTGACGCAACTTGACTCGGACAGCGAGACGAAAGTTTCCGATCATGGAAACCATCCCAAGTTATCAGTTGACAATGGGTTTCCATGTTCTTATATAAGGACGGGTCTCTTCATCATGATTACCAATCCATCATATTGGGAGCAAAACGGTGGGTTGCGTAATGCCACCCAGTGTACGCTGCTGATAATAATCAAAATTTGGCACGTCGGCCCAGGTAGTCCAATGTGGTGTTTTCCATCTAGCGATGCTTAATCCCCTCACTACTAAGGTTTGGTCGTCTAAGACCAAACTCTATCTCACATCTGGCAGCAGCCAACTACCAAGGCCTGAATGTTGAATCAATTCCATTTCAACTAACTTTCGCCAGTTAAACCACCCCCATTGCATAGTTGAGAGGGGTGTTGGTAAAAAAAAAAAATGAAAAAGGGGGTTTAATGCAGTTCACCCAAAAAAAAAACAAACAAACAAAATTTTCAATTTTTTTTTTATTATAAATTTTAGGGTTTTTTATTTTTTTTGGAATTTATAAAATAATTGAAGACTGAAATACATATATCCTCAAGCAGGGACGGACCCAGCAAATTTTGTAAAGGGGGTAAAAGTGAAATGTTTTTTATAATTTTAGTGGGACAATACTAAAATTTCATTGGTATATAATTATAATATGAAAAAATTCCTAATAGTTAGTGTTAAAAAAATAATAAATAAATCGGGACAATTGCCCTGAGAGCCTCTTTAAGTCCGTCGTTCAAAACGGACTTGAGCCTTTGACATTCTATGTTGTTTGGAACCGAAAGAACTCTATACCCTTTCATACAAGCGTATACCAAAATGCCCTTGAATTTTTTCTAGAGGGTCGGTATAGGCCTCAAAACCTGTTACGCAACAGCATTTCGGATCTAGCGCAGCTAAGGCAACAGATTGGGCTGGGCCTGATAATTTAACTCTTTTCGTTGGGCCAGAAGAAGAAGAACATTTCAACTTTTCAAAATACAGAAAGATGGACCAATTATTAAAATAATCTCCTGTGCGACTCTCCCTCCATTCTCCACCAGCAGTCCTTGAATGCCGCAACTCACTGTTTTAGATCGTTTTGTATACAATAAAAGAATGCATCACATATCACGAAAGTCCAAAGTTCGAATTTTCTTCAGTTATTGTTTTTAAGAATTTTTTTAATAAATATTCAGTGCATGTTGGATATGAAATTATATGTGACTGGTGGGTGAGTCATGAGGTGATGAATTATTGAGTACTCTATAAGGCCCGATCCCGTCATTTCTTTTTTTTCTTTTTAATAATAAAAAAAGAAAAAAAAAAAAAAAAAAAAAGCAGCAAATGTGTCATCAGATCTTCTGAATATGTTTTTTACATGATATAATCCCTTACCATATGAGTGCCTACCAAAATTTAAAATATGCTAGGTATTGCTAATTTGCTATGTGAAAGGTTAGTGTGCCAATTGTAATTGTAATAGTCAATCTTTTTTTTAATAGTCAAAGGTTAGGGTACGAATTAAAATTGACCTACTTTAATTTTTGCTTTGCACAAGTGAGCCTGGGCAATTTTCAATTATTTAATAACTCCTCTACAGCAACGGGCGAGTATGAACTATGAAGCAAGTTATTTAAATTCGGAAATATGTTTTTTTGAGCAAAAATGGTCGATAATGACCATATGACAAGTATTCATAATGGTCATTAATTAATCAAGAAAGGGACAGCGGTAGATAAATTCACATGTTAGGTAAAACATGTGTGAAATTTTGATAACAAGTTTAGTTGATGAGAGAGGACCAATTGAAAACTGTGAATAAACAAATATTTCCAATAGAAGTAAAGTAATCAACTTTGGTAGATTGAAAATATCTGTATGGTTTGAAAGTTAGCTGAGCATATGTCATTACATGCTTGTACACGAGATTTATTGCTCCTCAAATTCTGCACACGAAAGCAACTCCAGCGGCCCTCATTCTTCCCCAACTTTCTCACAATTATTTTCATGTTTCATAATCTCAACGCATGACGACAAGATTAATGCATGATGACGATCAGATTACACATAATATTGTTTACCTGTTTATTCGTGTGCAAGAAATTTATACACGATTTAAATCTTAACCGTTTATATATAAGACTGTTTATATGTGTTTATGGTTCGTTGTATCGTTGAATACGCAATCACGATTGATTCCACGATCGATATTGCGAAACATTATATGTGTGTGTGTATATATATATTATAGATGGTTTTCATTTCATGTGGAATATGAATCATGGATATATAGTGATGGAGTCGACTTCAGATGATATGGAAACAACAGTATTCTGTCCAGGCACATTTCTCTTTCTTGCATAGCAGCCTATATCCTTTACGACTTTGGTTACACATATATGACTAATTTGCACATAACACCGAAATTAATTAAACTAAAAACAAAACTTTCAATAGTACTGCCCATATATATATATATATTTGCCAAAAAGAAAATGAGGAAATTAAACAAAAACTAGTTAGACTGATCCCGTAGCAGCGTATTGTTTTCAGTTTTGAACTGATCAAATTAAAAATTAAATCTTCCCAAAAAAAAAAAAAATTTAATTTAAAAATTAAATCAAGCCTAAGATTTGAACAGATTAAAACAAAAGAATTAGAGAAGTTGGTTCAGTTCACGGTTTTTACTCAAAAAGAGGATCAATTAAAGGAGAAGAAAATACATGTTTTACCATGAACGGAAAAATAACTTTTAATTCCTTTTTGACTTGGAGATATTTTAATACGTCATTCTTATATATATAACTTTTTTTTTCTTATAGTTCTAAACCTGTGTGTGTATTATTTGTTATGAATTGAAGGTGCAGAAAATACATGTCAAATCACATTTATCATTACTCAATTACACGAGATGCTAATTCAATCACTAAAAAAGTTGAATTGATTAAACTAAAAAGAGTTCCTTTGTTTTGTCTTTTAGCATGCCTCTCAGGGAACGTATTATATAAACACTTCTGCAAACCAAAAAAATGCACATATGATACTAAAAAAACATACTAGAGTCTATTGCATTCTTTAACTAAATTACATAGAGTAGCTCGCTTAAACATGACACTAAATTTGTTATTAAATTTAAGGTTATGTTTGATTGTATGAAATTAAAGTATTAGAATTAGAATTGAAATTAGTGATATTGAAGAAAATTGAATTAAAATTGGACTTTTTTTTTTTTTTTTCAATTTCACCGATTCTAATTCCATATGGCTGAATATAACCTAAATCATTTCAAATGACAACCATTTGTGTATTTATAAAAACAAATTGTAAATGAAGCGGTTCTATGCCGAAGTAAAATAAAGAATGGTTGATATGTTCAAAGTTTAGATGAACAATTTTATTGCAAGAAAAAAAGATATAATAAAATAAATAATAAAATGGGACTAGTTTAGTGCACAAAGTTTTGCAAAGAGAGAATATTTTTAATTTTAAATTGATGACTTTCGAATAAGAAAAGAATAATTTTATCCTAAGTTTCACTTAACAACATACAAAATAAAATATTGTTACAAAATCATATAATTAAGTAGTTTATTCATATAAGTCTTTGTAGAAAGTGTATACGAAGCATCGAATCGGGAAAGGTTCAAAATAAAACATTGTTACAAAATCATATAATTAAGTAGTTTATTCATTTAAGTCTTTGTAGAAAGTGTATACGAAGCATCGAATCGGGAAAGCCATGCGCAATTCATCCAAGGGGATATCGTTGTCATAGCTATATACCCTTTTTATTATTGTTCCCACGTATACAGCTATTAAAGACCATCTATATATATATAAATGATTGAGGACTCATTCAGTAGAAAAATTAATGAGTCCTCAATCCACGTATATAGTTTATTCATTTTATATATATATATATATTTATTATTTTTTCATGTTAGAGAAATGTACTAGTAAATTAGTAATACATATAAAAATGCAGGTATATTTTTTATATAACCAAATATAAAAATACAAACGTCGTATTATTTAGATTTTAATTAAAAAATAAAGTAATTAATAACATTATATTTTTATTTTCTAAGCATAAAATTGTAATACAATGTAAATGGCAGATAATTTTTCAACAAATGCTTTACATTTACTCTGAAAAAAAGTATTGAACCAGAGCGGTGCAATTAAAACTCGTATTGAGATGAATTAAAAAATTAAAAAGTAAGTACCATATATAAGATAAGGTAGTCTCGGTGGGATATATATGTATGGCGTTAATCAAGAATTACATCATTAAGCACCATGTAAATAAAATAGAAGTAAATAGTGGAAAAGGGTAAAAATGATTTGGGTATATGCTTTTCGTAAAAACAGGTCTCAAATCACATATCTAGAATGAAGTGATTGATTTAACCATAAGGCACTACATAAGGTAGAATATTCTAGCTAGTCCACCTGTATGGTGTAATAAAATCACACAAGTTCGTCATAGTGAATGAACACGTACAGGAAACTGAATTCATAGGGCATGGACTAGTCAATTTGGACGTCGAAATGGTGTTACTTTTTTCAAGCCCTAATAATCCAGGGCCATTCTACATATTTGAATTGATAGTTGCTTGTTAGACTTTGTTTGTTGCTCAAAACCTAACCAAACAACCTCTACCACTTATATTACGATTGCGTCTCGTCTCCAATTTCATTGATCTTGATTGAGTGCTGGCTAATGAATATATAAAAGCTCATTGCTACTCGATCACTTAAGTACTTCATTTTTAATTTTAGTTTAGATAGATAGATATATATATATATATATATATATATATATATATATAGATAGATAGATAGATAGATAGATAGAGAGAGATGGGGAGGAGTCCGTGTTGCTCCAAGGAAGGACTCAACAGGGGAGCCTGGACTGCCATAGAAGATCAAACACTTGCAGCTTACATTAAAGCCCATGGAGAAGGACAATGGAGAAACCTCCCCAAGAGAGCTGGTATACACACACACACATATATATAAGCACTCACCAATTGTTTTCCATTATGTTTTCCACTCTAATTTTTTTGTTTTGCTTCAACCCATATTGTAAAAATGAATTCTAAATGCTCCCCAAATCGTCGTAATTGATATAACATGGTTGAAATAATGCAGGACTGAAGCGATGTGGTAAGAGTTGTAGACTTAGATGGTTAAATTATCTTAGACCAGACATCAAGAGAGGAAACATTTCTCATGACGAAGAGGAACTCATAATCAGACTCCATAAGCTTCTTGGTAACAGGTTAGTACTTATTGCTCTCTCATATCACATTTTTCGCCTTAAACAAACTAATCCATAGAGTGTTAAATAAATTATCTTCTTTGTTGAGTTGTGATGCAGAGTTAGTTCGACTCTTAGACTTATCAGACTGTATTTATGTGGGTGTAGATAACGACGATGTCATCCACACTCACATAAATTAGTGGGATTAACTTGAGAATCGGACTACTTATCATTTTTTCTTATATATTATATAGATGGTCTTTAATAGCTGGGAGACTTCCGGGGCGAACAGACAATGAAATCAAAAACTACTGGAACACTACTCTAGCAAAGAAAGCTGGAGCTCAAACATCTTCACAACAAACCAATCTGCAGTGTTCCACGATAAGCAAATCCAGATCATCAGTACTGAAGAAGTCAGCTACCAAGCCACCAATTTCGCCACCGGCTCGGACCAATCAAGCGCAAGCAATCCGAACCAAGGCCACGAGGTGCACCAAAATACTTGACGCAGTCCCTGCAATATCATTTCCATTTCCAAATTTATATGACAATCGTTACACAAACTCGGCATTAGAGCTTCAAGCACAACAAATATTCCAGCAGGGTACAAATAATAATACAGAGAGAGAGTCGTGTGGAATTGATGAGGAGATGAATGTTGCATACTCTAGCAACTCTGGTTTCTTAGATATTGGGTTTGATGAGTTTCCGGCAATGAATGATGATGATGATACGACGAAGAGGGTATATAGCTATGACAACGATATCCCCTTGGATGCTGACTATTTGTTCAAGGAGTGGAGCGTGGATGGTTTTCTTGATCACGACAATGTCGCTATCGGTGTCGGTTCCTTGGCAGCTTTACTTGATTGTGAGGAATGGCCATGAGATTCTAAATCATTCTAACATAGACAAAAAAGAATGTACAAATGTGCTTTTTCTATGGAAATACCAAGGATTCGTGTATGTATGGGTTTATCTCATAAGTGCTTCAACTCTCACATACTAGAGGCTACTTTTAATTTGCATGTCATTTTATGAATAATATTGTTGCAAGTTCTAATTTGCTAGTAAATTTAAGGAGGTATTCTTTTTATTGGCCTGCTGGACATATATAAATCACACACAATTTCAAGTGAGAAAAAAAAAAAACACTAATCAGTTGTTGAATGCCCCTGTATATGGAACTAAATAAAGTAAAACTAACAAGTGTCTATATATATATATATTTTATTTACAAACATGCGTGTACTATTACACCATTTCAGATTAAACATGTAATCTCTATTAAATACAGGAATAAATGTTGATCTAGGTCTAATATAATAATTTATATTAGTTAATAATCCTTATATTAGACTATTATTTTAGTTACAGAGGGGCTATAATATTTTCGGAGACATGGCATCATTTATTAAAAGAGGCTGCAATCCTTGGATAAGACAAGAAATGTCAGCATCCGCCAAAAAAGGACGGAGAGATTCTTCAAGATTCATGATACTTGGCAAACGTTTGATAAAGTTTAATGATGAATTTGTAGAAATATGACATGTGTTTCTTTTTTTCTCATAGGTTACATTCGCTGGCCAAGTCATGATATCTAATCTCTTAATTTGCTTTATTTTTACATCCAATATTATATTAGTTATCTTCTTTATTTAAAGTCAATAAAGATATGATTCCTTTCATGTTATTATTACTTATTTTATTACTATCTTCGTCTTACTTTAAATGTCGGTTTCATAAGCCGCAACTCACACCGTAAAAATATGACATGTGTTCTTTTTTCCTTAGAGGTTATATTCATTAGCCACATCATGATATCTAATTCCTCAATTTGCTTTATTTTTACATCCAATGAGGATGTCATATTAGTTATCTTCTTTATTAAAAGTCAATAAAGATATGATTCCTATCATGTTATTATTATTTATTTTATTATTATCTTCGTCCAATTCTAAATAGTGATTTCCGAAACCACTATTGAAAGTGGGACCGAGAAAATATTTTTTTGACTCAAAGCCTTCGAAATTAACTAAAGAAGGATCCTGATAATAGGAGGAAATAATATGAATTCTTTGAATGGATTCAAATCAATTTATATATTACTTTAAAAGAAATGACGCAAAAAATAATAATAATAATAATAATGTGGCCGGACTTTAAATTTCTTGGGTATTACGCCCAAGTATTTGTCAAATGACAAAATGCAATCAACACTGACTATCCTGTCTTAAATCTTAATTGATTGGTGACAAGTCTCTGCTGAATATATAGGAAACTATACATTATAATGGACTAACATCTTTGTTTCTTTTGTGTGATATTATTATAAGTTGAATTGTTCAACTGTTTTTTTTTTGTAATTTTTGCTTAAGAATTCTATTAGACTTCCTCGAGATTGGGTTGGGATCCTTTCCTGATTTATGTTTGTTTGGGAATGCGAGGCTTTTCCTTCCCTTTTGGCATAGGTCAAGTTCTTTTTCTCAATAAATTTTTATTTTATCCATAAATAAATAAAATTAGAACACAGATCGGAAGAGATCAACTAGTCTCACTATTGTATGTGTCATTGTGAAAAGTAATAACCAACGGGAATGAATTCAATTATTTTCAATTTTTCCACATCCATTCATGCATCTAGCTCAGTATTCGAACATTTTCGCCCCAACTATAATTGGAGCCATTAACTTTAATTGACCAATAATATCATACAAATTAAGCTACCTAACTTTCAACTAACCCAAGTTGGAAATACCTAAAATAGGAGTGTACTAATGTCGGAGCACAATTATATTGTGCCTGTGAGCGAAAGAAACAAAGTTAAGGTATTCATTTCTTGCTTCTCCTCGTGAAAGGAAAATATAAGATCGATCAATTATTGTCATCGTTAGAGCTTTTTGCTTCTTCTTTTTTTATTATTATTATTTTTTTTAATATATTGACTTAATTTTTTTTTTATTTATTTATATATTGACATTAATTCTATACCACTTAATACAATTAGAGTTGAATCAAACCACGTAAAAGTTAGCATTCATTCTATATAAATATAGAGCAATCGTTTTTATCGGTGAAAATATATATATGTATATATAAGAGTGGAGTCAGGATTGTAAATTAGGGGGGCTAAAGATAAGAAAATTTGAAGGTGAACACAATGAAAGTTGTGAAATATTAAAAAAACAAAATTTCTTGTAGAAGTGAGGTTAGGTAAGGGCATACTGTGTTCAATATGGTATTACTTTCATATCCAAATAACTACATCATGAAATTGATCATTTCAGATCATGAAATTGATCATTTTTTACTGAAGATCCAATCCGAAATGACCTAAAAACTTAATTTACCAAGTTTAGATCTCAACTTAAAATAAGGTATAAAAACATGTTTGTTATCCACCATCAAAGTATCCATTGGAATTCGTTTTTTGAGTAAAAATAAAATAAAAAATTGTCTAATTCTTAAAGATCCATTCAACTATTAATTGATAAAGGTGCTTAGATTTTGAAATAAGACTGCCCATATTCTAGGGAATATGGGTTTATGTTCTAATTTAAATGAAAAGTTGGATGTTTTCTCACTTTATAGTAATTATAAACTTTTTAAATTGTGGTTTCTAATTAACATAATTTATTCTCTTGCTTAAGAGAGAAAAAATCAAAGATTAATATAGGAACAGTTCGAAGAATAAAGATAGTAGCAGCATATAGCCTAGATAAACACATGAATAGTTGGCCTAATATGAAGAGTAATACTACAAATTGATTACATATGCACTGACTTTTATATAAACAATAGTACTAATTTTAAATAAAATAAAAATAAAAAATTGGACCAGGGCTGGTTAGCCCATTAATAATTCCTCCCTTGTGTATATATATTAGAAGGTTAAGCAATCAGTCGTACACCCCAAGTCTTCACTGAGTGTCGGCAAACCTTCCTTTGGAAAGGAGTGAAACAGAAACAACTTGTGCAAAGATACTTGAGATGGGAAAAAAACTAATTTCAATACGAATTTAGTGGAAGTAATTAAGTTAAATTCAAACCTACATCCTATAAGACTATAACATTGGTCAGAAATAGATTCATATTGATTTCTTGAATTTATTTATATATTTTCGGTATTATATGTATTTTACCCGTCAGAGTCTTATGAGAGAGAAGTAATTCATGTCACAAACTACGTTTCAATTTAAGGCTGCTCAGTCAATGTCGTCTCCTTTAGAATATCCGGAGGATCATCCAATTATACTCATATAAAAATGTATAGACACACACATATAGTGAATTAACGATATGCTACACTGCCTAGTAATACAAAAAAACGTACGTACGCATATAAAAATACACAAACAAGTACGTATATTTCACGATTGTTCTGTGTGAATTTAAAACATACTTGGTCAACAAGACGCCAACAGTGTAAAATCGCATTTCAGAATGAACAGTTCAACTAACACGTGTGATGAACAATTTTCAGATTGCTTGTAAGAAGAGAGATTTGAGAACGAATAGAGAGTTCAATTAAATTGACTAACACGTGCGCAAGTGATCAAAACAAAAAAAATTGAGAGGTGTGTGAAAGGGCCATCTCACGTCTGGATCATGAGGCGTCTCTGAATTAATAATCTTCACCTATAAAACCTTCACCTGAGGATGAAAGAGTGGCTGAAAATTGAACAGAAGATATGTACATGTCGGTCACCAAAATTCTTTAACTGCTACCTTATCTTTGTTTCTAGAGGGAGACTATTATAAATATCAGTCATTGTAATAAACATGTTTTGACTATAAATATGATCATCCCTTCAAATTATGGCACAAAATATAGTCTTGATCAACTTGTATGTGAGACATAAATTACACATGTTCAGTGATCAGGGACGGATTCAATGCTTAACCTTAGGGAAGGAATATAAATACTTGATCAATATAAGATAGAGAAAAAAAAAAATTACATAAGGCATAAGTGCAAAATAAATAAATAATTTTTAAAAAAAATTTGAAGAGTAAAAGAGAAAAACTAAAGGAATTAAAAGTTTCAGAAGGGGATATTATATGGAAATTTTTATATATACGTAAAACCAAAATAAAAAACTAATCATATATTATAGTGGATGGACAAGTGCTCCTGGGCACACTGGCTTTGCCCTAAATTATGTGGAGCACTAAGAAGTCCGACATTATCATTGTCGAAAAAAAAAAAAAAAAAAAAATCAGCATTAATTTATTATTATTGTTATTGCTGCTGCAGCAACAACAAAAATAGGGAGATACCACTTGGGCTAGGCCCTTAGTGGTAAACATAGAATCGTTTTATTTTTAAGGTCATTTATGTAGGCAATAAAAACGCCTTGAGTATTTAAGACTTTGTCCATTGAAATTGTTCGGTTTGGGAGTGCCTTTTTTGGTTTGGGCTTGCCTTAGTTGTGAGCCTGCTTTATTATTAGTCTTATTTGTACAGTCATTTTCTATACCATACATTTTACCTTCAGAATAAAAAGAAGATTAGGGTTTGATTGGCTTACCATACATTTTACCTTCAGAATAAAAAGAAGATTAGGGTTTGATTGGCTTGTAATTCTAAAAACGGTTCTCAAGAATTCAGAGAACAATAAAAGACAATTATCTAAAAACAGACCTGTTTATAACCAAATTTTTAGAAAACTGAACCAATCACAACTTTTTGTACAATTTTATATTTTCAGTTTTTTGAAAATAAAAAACTATTGTTAGAGTTAAAAACCAAATAGGCACTTAGTATTGCCTCTCATCCGCTTTTCCTTTTAATTTTTTTTTTCTTTTGGCTACTTATAGATTTTCATGAAGTGATTCCTATCCATTAGTATGTCTACTTCACTAATCCCAAACTGAGCTGTTTTGGTAAAATGAGCTCCAGGCCAATTACGGACCGAATTTATTGCTTACTGGACTAAAAGACACAAATGTAATGTGTCCTATTATAAATTTCAGCCCAAACTCAAAAAAAAAGCACAGCTCAAAATAATCTGGGTAGTGTTTGAGGAGATTGGGCTGACTAAGGTGCTATGTTTGGTTGGTTGTGGGCCAGGA